GTGGTTGAAATCACTTTGGAGATGATGGAATTGGCTCCTTCAAAAACAGCAAAGATTTTATTCCATTTTCCACAGCGATAGTTTGGAATATTGCTTTCCCCACCTGCAAGCAGGTCTAGCATGGAGTCGGAAGTGATCCTTGCATTGTAATAGTTCTCATAGAGGCTGTAGCCCAGGGTGATGTTGGGTAAGAGCCTGGGATCCCGGTTGATCTCTTGGATGGTGAACAAGAAGGCCAAGATATGCCAGTAGAACCTATCCAACACACTGTACGAAATCAATCAGTTAAAATCATTCACCACTTAATGAAAATAAATTGTATTTGATTCCCAATTAATGGTCTGCATTAGGGCTGCCATACAGACATAGAAGGAAGACAGCAGTTGGAAACAGTGTCCAGGTGGTAATCACTGGAATTTCCTTTAAAATAACTCAAAATAACTTTTGTGTCTGGATTTTCACTTGTTGCAACATGGGGACTCTAGTCTGTATGTTTGTTTGAAGGGTGAGAAGAGACATACCCTTCTCACAAGATGAAAATCCATTTGCCACCTAAGAATTAAAATATAAGAATTTCTCAAGAGGAGAAGCACACATCTTCAAAGAAGGAAAATGAAGAAAACATTCTCCTTTCCGAATGTGTGAGAAATATGGGGACATGGCTGCTAAGGCTCGTATTGGCTGCTTCAAAGGAGTTGCATAAAGAGCCAACTGCAATGGAGAGCTAAGTCTGTTTAGAAGCTCTATTTTATTAGTATGGCTTATTTTCATTAGGAATGATTCGGATTGGGCTGTTCTTTAATAAAGGTCAGTTTCAACCAGTCTTTCTGTGAAACAAACCATCAGAAGGATGGATTTCCTTCCATCTCTCATGTGCAAGTGAATTCAGGTGTCTGGCACAGCAGAGAGGGGGAAATCTTAGGAATGTGGGTTGCTGCTGGGGAGGGGGGAGTGAAGCAGAGAAAAAATCCCTGGAGCCAAATTAATTCCCAGAAGCACTGAACTTGGCTAAGCTTGCAATTGTGTGTCTTATTCTGCATCATAGGGGGGCTTCTTGTGTAGTTCCAGGTTGAGATAATGTCCACTTAAACTAGCATTTCATCCAGAAGGATAGTTTCCTTGTCATTCATATTTCTCCCTGTGGGAACTGTTCAATCTCATTGCAATGGCAGTCGCAGACACTAATTCTGCTGATATCTTCTGGGAGGGTATTTCAGACAGGCGAACGGATGGAATCAAATGCCCTCCCAAATATCAGCATAAAAGACCTCTGTTTTGTCTGTTTAAATATGTTTTCTTTTGGTTTTCAACAGTAACACTATAAACTTAACATGAACAGCAAACACAACACTCAGAATATATATTATTGGAAGTAACCTTAAGCTACATACATAATAGGCTCACTGCTTAATTAGTACTCTCCATAGAGATACATGTGTTATAGGGAGTTGCAATAATTGTGCTGGCTTCTTAATGTGATCTGTAAAGAACAACCACATGCTTAAAAATTTGGCTTTATTTTCCGGTCCATTAAAAACTCTGCTGCATTGGGTCAAGTGTTCAGAAAGTGCTATTTCCCATACACCTGCATACCAGAAACACAAAGTAGGATTTTTCCCAGTGTCCCACTCATCTCATGAATGCAGCTGTGATCATTCAGTGAATCATTTTGAACCCTGATCAGGTTCATTTATACACTGATGTTCTTCAACAAGCAACAGAGCAGCACAGAAGGTAAAAATAGAGCTCATCTGGGAACATGCAACCCACTAGCTGCTGGGAAATTCAGGTTCCCTTCAGCTCCTGCCAGCATGGCCAGTGATCAGGGGTGATGGGAGCTGCAGTCCCGCAACATCTGGAAGAACACAGAGTCCTCACCCCTAAAATGGAGACTATTTTCCTAGTAACCAGGAGCCATTGAGGTGCAGTAGAAAAACGTGACGTCCTTCTGCATATAATTACTTACTCATTCTTAAACCTGGTTAATGGGGGCTGTGAAAAGTTGTATGGAAGTTGAATAGAAAATATATTTGGAGTTATTATCCCGCCAATGAGGAAGTCGCCAGTCTGGAAATAATTCTGTGCTTTGATTCCTTCCCGGATTGGATTCAGGGGGCATTTTGCCTTCAGGTTTCCACAGGATTCAAGCAAAATGAGCAGCATCAGCATCTGGGATCTCATTCTGACTGACGGCTACACCTCTCTTGTGAGTGTTCCTCTCTCCCCCATAGCCAGCTACATCAGAAGAAGCCAAAAAACTCTTATTTATCCAATATGGGTAGTGCTCAGAGCCATTAAACCTCACACAGATCTATCCCACCCCTCTTACTCTCCATTGTCATTCAGTCTGTCTCTGATACAGGTGATCTTCTGTGCACCAACTTTTCCCTCAGGAACAAGGCAGAATAAATCACTATGATGTTGATAATTATAAGGGGAAGGAAGTTCATCTCTGCAACAACCTGAAGTCTCTGTGTGGCCTGAGGGGCAGGAGCAGAGTTGGAGATAAACATGTTTGGGAAGAAACAAGGTTGCTGCTCCAAAGTTTGACATGGGTCACGTGGTGAGTGAGAGTTTAGCATGAACTTTGCTGCTGACAAGAGCATTAGAAGAGTCCTGCTGCTGGTTCAGTTCAAAGCTTAATCCAGTGCAGTATCTTGTTGCACCCAGTGGCCAATCAGACATTTCTGGGATCCATCCAAGCTGATGGCAGTAGAGTTGATCCCAGCAACTGACATTCTGAGATATGCAGCCTCTGACTCTGGAAGTCATGTGTCTTTTAAAAGTGTCTAAGTTAGCAGCTGAAACAAAATAAAAATATTCCTTCCAGTAGCACCTTAGAGACCAACTAAGTTTGTTATTGGTATGAGCTTTTGTGTGCATGCACACTTCTTCACTCTTTCCTGTGTCAGTGAATTTCTCCATTGGGCTACAATATCCAAAAAATTGCTTCCTATTTTCTATCTAGATTCTCCAAGTGGATTCTTCTGTGAATGCCTCTTCGAGTAATAATTTTCCAGGAAAAGCCTCTCGTTTTTCGCTTTCTCCATGATTTTATGCATCTCTATTAAGTCCCACTTTTACAGTCTTTGTTCCTTAACCGGGTCTACCAACCTTTTTAGGCCCCTAAAAACAACTGGATATGTTATAGTCCTGTGGGTGCCACACATTCTGGTCACTCCCCCCCGTACCTGCAAGACAACCACAATCCCAGAGACAGAAAGACAGAAAATGTTGCAGACTCTCAGATAAACCAAGAGAATTAATGTGAGCCTTGATAAACACATAAAGCTGTAAAAGGAAGTGGGAAACAGCATCATTCATCTAACTTCCTTCTTCAGTTCCATGTTATTTTCAAGGGATTAAAAGGTGATCGCTCTCACTACCTCATAACCGAATAGACAATGGGGAGGGGCTTAGAGGAGTCACAAAGATTCCAGGGGATTCCTCAAGGACACAATTTGTGGAATGCTTTCCAGGGAGGTTCGGCTGCTAACTTCATTGTACACCTTTAGGTGCCGAGCGAAACGTTCCTTTTTAAACAGGCCTTAGGCTGATTGACATCTAATGCCCTTTGAAATGTCTTCTGAGTGCAGGATTATTGGTTAGTTTTTGTTCTTATCTTTATTATGTCTTTTGTCTTTTTTACATTGTATTTTTATATTGTGAACCACCCTGACATCTATGGCCGATGGGCATTATAGAAATTTAATAAATAATAAGAATTAATCAAACTTAGATGTCTGGCTTCAGGAATCTCCTTCCCGCTATCATAGGACTCAGCTATGTTCATAAAGATAAAGTGCTTTATATGCATTATAACACTGTGACACCAGATGGCGCTGTGGAGTCCCATCATTCACCAGCAGGATTTCCCTGTATGAAGTTTACAACACATTTAACTGAATTGCTTTTTGATGTGTGTAGATTCAGCCATACGGATTCTATACTGGTGAGGGGTTTGCCAGCTATTAACACCATACAGGAAGACCCCAGAAATAGGTAATAAAATGCTATTTTATTTCAAGAATCAGAGTTCCTAATACAGTGGGAGAGGGGGAGTCGGAAAGTAAGAGAAAGAGAGATCGAAACATGCAAAGCAGGAAAAACGTTCCCAGAGAGATGTATTTTGTCCAGATTCAGTTACTTCTGAAGAGGAGACAAGCTCTTGGTGTAAAAACACCTGGTACTATGCTTTCAATTTGCTTTTGCCAAGAAAATAGACCTTTCTGGTGTCAAACTGTTCACATTCCCTTTGGTTAGCATAGATACCAGGACATGCCTACATGAGCTCATTATCACATGAATCTTGTATCTGTAGATGGAACAAAACTTTAGCCAAATTCCACTTTCCTTATGTCTGACAACTTTACTTCTCCAGAGACCACTTATCTCATTTCTGACTACCTAATATCAAGTTTCAGTCATGTCCTTCAATGTACTAAGTTTTCTCCTTACTCTTGCACTTTTGATCCTCGTCAACACTCACGTGCCAAAAATATTTCTTTTCCGCAAACTATGTGTATCACCGTTCCCATATGACCTTTTATCTATGTCCTTCATGTAGCTCGTTTAATGTCCCTTTTCTTCTAATTTAGCTAAGTTCATTTTTCACTTTAGCAATTCAGTTGACAACGTCTTAAGCAGCTTAGAAACTCAGCTATGAATAATGTGCAGTCTAACTCAAGACAGAAGAGCCTGGTACAGGAATGATTTCAAGCAACAATGGGCAACTCCACAATTGCTATTAGTGAAGAATTGGGAATCAGAAACTTTAAGAGGTCTACTGCAAATTATCTATCTCCTCCCCATCACAAGTGAACAAAGGGAACTTTGACAAGGATACATGCACACACACATATTTGTGGAGTTTACTGGAGCCTTCTGGAAAACACTACCAACAAAAAGCTGTGTTTCTACTCAAGATTCAGGTGGGGACTTCCAACTCTACAATTCTATGATTCTATGATATCCTTAAAGCTAAGAATCAAATGTCATGTTTAGCTTTTTCTTGTCAGATGCTCTCTCATGTTCAGATCTGGCCTCAGTACAATAATGTAGCACTTGGGAATGAAGATGCAGCCCAGAAGCCCAGCACTGGAAGCCAAGATAGAGAAGACCTGCACAGCCACGATGTATTTCCCCTTTGTGCTCAGGTAGGTAGGCACAAAGGAGACCCAAACGCTGCAGAAGACCAGCATGCTGAAGGTGATCAGCTTGGCTTCATTGAAATTTCCAGGCAGCTTCCTGGCCAGGAAAGCCACCGTGAAGCAGATGGCAGCCAAGAAGCCCATGTAGCTGAGGGAACCATAAAACATGAGCACAGACCCTTCATTGCATTGCAGGGTGATCTCTCCAAGCTGGGAATGCATGTCAGAATCTGGGAATGGAGGAGAGGCCCCAAGCCAGATGGTGCAGATGAGAACTTGGACACTGGAACAGGAAATGACAATGGAGTTGGCCAGACTCTTCCCTAGCCATCTCCTTACCCTGTTCCCTGGCTTTGTGGCCAGGAAGGCCAGCACCACAGTGATGGTTTTTGCCAACACAGAGGAGACGGCAACTGAGAAGATGATGCTGAAGGCTGTTTGTCGGAGAAGGCAGGTGACTTTCCTTGGCCTTCCAATGAAGAGGAAGGAGGACAAGAAGGACAGCAGGAGGGAGACAAGGAGGATGTAGGAGAGGTCCCTGTTGTTGCCTTTGACTATGGGAGTTTCTTTGTATTTAATGAAGATTCCTAACACAAAGCCTGTGGTTAAGGATAAGAAGAGAGAAAGGGAAGCTAGGAGGCTCCCCAAATATTCATCGTAGGACAGGAAGACGATCGCTTTGGGGACACATTGATCTCGGTCCTCACTTGGATGCTGATCTTCTGGACAATTGCTGCATTCATCAGCATCTGCATAGAGGAAAACACACTTCAGTATCCTAACATGAATCACACACCTACAATGGTCTTATGCTGTTTCAATTCTGAGGAAAGTTGGGCATTGGATACTTCTATGTGAAAGATGATGGTAAATTCAATAGGGCAAACCTTACAAGTGGGTTTAAAAAAAAATATTCAATGGTCTTATGCTGTTTCAATTCTGAGGAAAGGTGGGCATCTGGGAGAAATCAGGAAAGATTGTTTTGTAGGGAAGGAGAGAGGCAGACATTCACATCCAGAAAAGAATCGACCCATCAATTCATTCCCACTGGCTTCTCTTAGAACATGATGCTTTGATCTTGAATCCTTGAGGTTTCTTATAAGTTAATCTTTACTGATGAATGGGTGGATTTGAAAGATGTTTCACCTGTCTAACTCTAAAACTGTATGGATTCAGTAGTAGAAGCCAAAATGAGAACTGAGAAAACAACTATATAAAAACCACAGATCAATACTCTGTAGAGGAGCTAACATCATTAAATACAGATCAATAATACATGCTTGAGCACATGGACAAACAAAATTTCCTGGTGCTGGGGGGGACACTGAAGGCTGGCAATAGGGGAGCTCCCCTGAAGAGGGTATTTCATTCATGAGGTGCCATTAATAACATCATGTTTGGAGTGACTCAGAAATTAGCCATGTCCTCCTGTCAAAGGTCCTTTCCTCTGATATCCTCCCCTACCTTCCTGAGTGGAGATTGTCCCTTCTGAGCAGGGAGCACAATCATAGCAGCACGGTGGCTTCCCTTCCTGAACCTTTTTGGCATATCCAGGGAGACAGCTTTCTGTGCATCTTGAACGAGGCGCCGTCTAGACATAAAGAGATTTAGCACCAAGGAGAAAGTGTCAGTAGCAATTGTGCCTTGGATTAAAGGTTATACCTGTTTACTCAAGAGCAGGTCCCATTAATCTCAGTGGGACTTAGCTGCAGGGAAGTGAGCACAAGATTGCAGTCCAAGCATCATATGTATTATTCAAAATGTTGTTAGAGCGTGGAAGATGCCATAATTAATAAAATGACAGATATAATTTCTCATACCTTCTGAAATAGATTGGGCCACACAATTGCTTCCGGATTAATGGTGAACTTCATATTTGAGGACCCCTGTCTCTCTATTCTCCCAATCTTCACTCTAGCAAGAGAACTGTTGGGAAACAGCACTGGATTCACAATATCAAAGTCAGCGGCCACTGCCCCTTCCTCATCCAAGTACTGTCCATCAGCTGAAGTATTAGTATAGAAGCGGACTTCTTTCAAGAAAGGATGAAGCTGGAATGACAGAGAAAACTCCACCATTGAGAGAACATGAACCCACCAGGGGAGAAATAAATACAGTTCAAATTGGGGGAAATAAAGACAGTGGTACCTCAGTTTTCAAACAGCTTAGTTCTCGAACTACTTGGAACTGGAACACTTCAAACCTAGAAATGAATGTTCTGATTTTGGAACTTCTTTTGGAAGCCGAACATGCTCTGTTCACAACATCTGTTTGCGAACTACTTTGACAGCGTTGGACGCCATAAAGAAAGCTTTACAGCCTGTTTTCACCAGATAAGAATCTGATACATTGCTTCTTTCAGAGACTTATAAGACTTAAGTTTATTTGGTTTTATGTTTTCAAGAGAATCCATTAAGAGTGCATAATTTGTGACTTTCAGAGATTCATAAGTTTTCTCTTTATGTGATTTCGTATATTTTGTATTATATAAAGTGTGCATATTGATATCGTATCATTGTATTTGGTCATTGTGTTGCCTTGGATATTACTGACTACTGTTTGCAACACAGGGGTTAAATTATTTGGTGCCTTCGTGGGGTTGCAGGGGATCCAATGCAAAGGTGGAGGGCTCCTTTAAACTTCTCCCTTGAGGGGAGTGCAGCCGTGAACTCCTCAACGGAAAGTGTGATGGAGCCTGCACCTCCCCAGCTGAGCAGCCCCAGTCCAGTTCCTGTTCCCCTGCAAGCAGCAATGCTGCTGCCTGATCCCACTCCTACTTGCCTGCAAGCAGGAGTGGAGGCGGGGATCTCTCAGAAGTGGAGCAGGCTGGGGGGTGGGGGGTGACATCCCTTACCTGCTTGCTTGCCGCCCTGGCCCAGCCTTCCCTCACTCAGCGCTGCGGCCACAGGGCTGCATTCAAAAAACAACAACACAGAAACTTTCCAGAAAACCACAAGGCCAAGAATCTTGAAACTCGTGAAAAAGCAGCAACAAACTGAAAAAGCAAACCAACTGCAAATGAATCAAAATCACAAGAAAACATAAAACAGCACTGAATCTGGCCGACAGTAAGAAATCTTACAATCCTTTGCAAAAGGGAACGGACATACCTGCCATGACCATAGACTTTGACGTTCCAACCTGCCTCCTCCTCTTCCACCTCCCACAATCAAACTCCGCTTTGATCTGGATGAATATGCTGCATTTAAAGGCCTGAGCCACAACTTGGATATTCAAGTAATTGATGTAGTTGTCTTGCGACTGGATTCCTTTCCACTTCTTCCTGGGGCAGCAACTGCAGATCCTTCTTCTCCCTGCATTTTGTTAAACCCCTCAGGGACAAGGCATGCTTTGAATATGAACAATCATATACATTTACCATGCAGCTTGGAATTAGTTGGGGACATTGGCTCATAGTAGTCCTTTTTGGTCCTTTTTCTAGTCTTCATTACAAAGGACAAAGAGCCATGCACATACGGGAAGCAGTCAGTGTCACATAATGAGAATTTGTTCTGAAGACCTGTGGTTATCCAGACTTTCCCTCCTCCACTCTGTACCCTTTGAAGTAAGGATTCCACCTCTATGATTATATAAAGTCCATATTGAGAGTCTGCAGTGTAAACAAATACATTGACTTCTCTCCACGTGGCAGGTAGTTCATGGGGTATCCAGAGCCAAGTTTTATGTTCTACTCTTTCTGTGAAGGCAATACAAATTTCCTTTTTGATCATCAGAGGCGTCAAGGTACTCAGGGACCTTTCTCCGTTGTCATTGTCTGGAGCAAAGAGGCCGACCCACGTCCACCGGAAATGCAAGAGGAGTTGGACCACCCCCTGGTACTGAGTGTCTTGCTTTGGGGTCATCCAGTAGACAAAAGGGAACTGAGCTTTATCATTAAGAACAAAGCCATAACTGAGCTGGTGAGGAAAGAAAAAGAGACTGGTGGTTTGTTTTTTTAAGACTAAGATTGGATACTTCTATGTGAAAGGTGATGGTCAATTTAATTAGGGTGAACTTCACAAGTGGGGGTTTTTTAATAATAAAAAAATTAAAGCAGTTTTTCTACTGCTTAACCGCAATAGTCTCTAAGCAGTTTCAAAAGATGCAATCCAAAAAAATCAAGAAGGTAAAATTTTCAAATCAAACTTCAATTAAATTGCCTGATAAAATAAAATAAAATAAAATCCTTCAGTAGGCCAAGACAACAATGTGTTAATGAAGGATTGAGTAGGAGAGGTATATACTACAAATTATGCTCCCAATGCAAGAGGCCTCATAATCTTGATATGAAAAGGATTGAGGGTGGATACACAACAAGTTATTAGTGATGAAAATAGACGCTATTTAATTTTGCGTATGAAAATTGCTGAAAAGTTAATAATGTTGATTGATATATATGGGACAAATGTAGATTCCCTAGATATGTTTTATCAATGTTTTAGTCACCTGAGTCAAAGTACATATGATAAACTTATAATAGAAGGTGATTTCAATGAAATAATTGATCCTAACCTGGACAGAAACACACCTCCGGGGGGGGGGTAATTCATTAGTTAGAGAAACTCTCAAAAAGTACCTACAAAAGTTGATTCTGGTTGACCCTTGGCGCTTAAGGAAAGGCAATTTACATTTTATAGTCAAGTATATAAAAATTGTTTTAGGTTGGATTTTTTCTTAATATCAGTGTCCTTGTACTATCAAATTCAAGATTGTGAGACTGGTATATATTGTGTATCTTATCACAGTGAAATTAGCTTGGATTGGAAGTATTCTAATACAGCTAAGATACCAAGAAACTGGTATTTTAACATCTCACTACTTAATGATGACCAGTTTGTAAAACAAATGAAGACCGAGACTGAACAATTCTTTGATATAAATACTGAGACTTTGACCGCTAGGATATATGAATGGGAAGCATATGAAGCTTTTATTAGAGGTTGAATTATAGCATCCCACTTTTTTAAAAGACAACCTTGAAAATAGTAAGAAAAAATTGAAAGAGGTATTAAATGACTTATAGACATTAATAGTTAATAAGCCAACTGATGAATTGTATAGTAAGATACGAAAAAATAAATTTGAACTAAGTAATATATTGTCCCAATAAGTTGAATTCATGCTTATGTGTACAGGACAAAAGTATTGGGAGACAGGTGAAAGGGCAGGTAGGATTCTTGTGAAGCGACTTATGCAAAAGAAAGAAAACTCAATAATCTCACAAATTAGAGGTGAATTGCATGAAGTGCATACATCTCCAACCGTGATTAACAACCACTTCCTGAAAAGAGGTACCAGAAGAGTTTATGGGAAGGGCGGGATTCAAAAAAATAAAACTACCAAGGCTAGAATACACACAAAAACAAGTATTGATGTCTCCAATATCAGAAGCCAGGATTAGGAAAACAATCACAAATGTGGCAGATGGATTCTTTATTCAACAGAATGCGATTAAGAACAAGAACAGGGAGAAAGGGAGGAAGGAAATTTTAAAACAAATAATGGACAATGAAAGAAAATTAATTAAGAATCCAAACAGCTTAAAAATAAAAGAGAATATTACAAGTCCTGCAGACACAATTTGCAATGATTATTAACAAAGAGGTGGAATGGAATATCAAAAGGCTTCGACAGAAAAACTTTGAATTTGCTAATAAATCTGGCAGATGGCTTGCGTGGCAAATTAGGAAAAGGAAAGAACAAAGTACAATTAATAAAATTATTCTAGATGGAGAAGAAGTTGAAAACCCTAAAGCTATCAGGAAAGGATTCCTGGATTTTTATAAACATTTATATAACAACAGAGAAAAGAACAACATGAAGAAAATAGAAAGATTTCTAAAGGGAAAAAGTGTGCAAAAGATCCCGACAGACAAGAAAGACCGACTGAATGCCCCAATTGTAAATGAGGAAATAATCGAAACAATAAAAGAACTGAAGAAAGGGAAGGCACCAGGACCAGATGGTCTAACATCCAGTTATTACAAAGAACTGAGGCACGCCCTAATAGTACCAATAAAGGAAGTTATGAACAACATACTGCAACAACAGGATATTCCCAGAACGTGGAAAGAGGCCTTTATCACACTCATTCCCAAGCAAGACTCTGATTTGACACAAGTAAAGAATTATAGGCCAATATCTCTGCTAAACACAGACTATAAGATCTTTGCTGGAATACTAGCAAAAAGATTAAAGAAGATACTGCAGGAAGTAATACATGTAGACCAGGCAGGCTTCCTCCCGAACAGACAGATGAAAGACAATGTTAGGAACATAATAAATATTTTGGAATATCTGTCTGTAAGGAATGAGAAGCAAGCTCTATTAATGTTTGTGGACGCAGAGAAGGCTTTCGATAATATATCGTGGGAATTTATGTTAAAAAATTTAGAAATGATGGAAGTTGGGAACGAATTTTATAACGGAATAAGGGCAATTTACTCGGAACAGAGAGCTAAATTGATTGTGAATAACATACATACTGAAGAATTTAAGATATCAAAAGGTACTAGACAGGGGTGTCCCCTCTCGCCGTTATTATTTATAACAGTCCTGGAAGTCCTTTTAGGCTCAGTAAGGAACAATGACAAAATAAAGGGGGTGACAGTCGGCAAAAACGAATACAAGATTAAAGCCTTTGCCGACGACATAGTAATAATGATTGAAGAACCCATAAGCAGTTTAAATGAGGTATTGAAGGAAATAGATCAGTTTGGTAAAGTGGCCGGATTTACGTTAAACAAAAAGAAAACAAAAATAATGGTCAAGAATATTGACCAGAGTCTAGTGGATGAATTGCAACGAGAATCAGGGATTGATGTGACCAAAAAGGTAAAATACCTGGGAATATGGCTGACCCCAAAAAACATCGATTTATATCAGAACAACTATATTCAGGTGTGGAAGGGAATTAAGAAAGATTTAGAAACCTGGGGAAGAATGAAACTGTCCTTTTGGGGCAGAATATCAACAATCAAAATGTGTGTGCTCCCAAAAATGATATTTCTGTTTCAAATGATCCCTATAATCAGGGGAATAAGCGTGTTTAAAGAGTGGCAAAGAACGCTCTCGAGATATATCTGGCAGGGCAAGAAGCCAAGGATACAATTTAAGTTACTGACAGATACTAAGGAAAGAGGCGGTTTTGCCCTGCCAGACCTAAAACTATATTATGAGGCGTCTTGTCTTTGCTGGCTAAAGGAGTGGATAAAGTTAAATAACAACAAACTACTAGATCTAGAGGGTCACGATAATAGGTTTGGATGGCACGCCTATTTGTGGTTGGAAAAGAAGAAAGTTCATAAAGGTTTCACTAACCATGTTATTAGGGGTTCTTTAATAGAGGTCTGGGACAGGTACAAAAATATTTTGGAATTTAAGGTCCCGCACTGGTTGTCACCACTAGAGATAATGTCAGTAAAAAAGATCAATATGAGACCAAATTGGATAACATATGGCGAATTGGTAGTGAAAGAGGGGGAGAAATGGAAACTGAAGCCATATGAACAAGTTAAGGACCAGGTTTATGATTGGATGCAGTACTTCCAGGTAAATGCATTGTTTAACAAAGATCTTAAAGAAAAAGGTTATATAGAAAAAGTATCTAAATTTCAATCAGATATAATTGATAATGATGTTAAGATAATTTCGAAAATGTATAAATTACTTCTGGAATGGCAAACAAAGGACGAGGAGATTAAGTCAGTCATGATTAAGTGGGCCAGAGACTTTGGTTACAGTATACAACTAGAGGATTGGGAAAAGGTATGGAACGAAAATATGAAATTTACTGCATGTACAGCACTAAAGGAAAACATAATGAAGATGGTGTACAGGTGGTATATTACACCGGCAAAACTAGCAAAGATGTATAAGACATGCAATAGGTGCTGGAAATGCAAAGAAAAAGAGGGATCTCTCTTTCATATGTGGTGGGATTGCAGGAAGGTGAGGGGATTCTGGGAATTGATCTATTGTGAATTGAAAAAGATGTTTAAATACTCGTTTGTTAAAAAGCCAGAATCCTTCCTGCTAGGTATAACAGGAAGAGAGATAAAAAGACAGGACTACAAACTGTTCCAATACGCTGTTACAGCGGCAAGAATACTGATGGCCCAGAGGTGGAGACAGGAGGAAATGCCGACTTTGAATGAATGGAGGATGAAACTTATAGATTACGCAGAATTGGACAAAATGACTGGAAGAATAAGATATCAGAAAGATCAAAAATTCATCGAGGACTGGGGAAAGTTTGCGGTATATCTGGAATCTATATGTGATCAACAAACAACGCTAGTGGGGTTTAAAGAGACTTTGTAATACTGTAAGGTATATTGTATGACAGAATTAGAGAGGTGTAAGATAATGGTAAATTAGCAATACTATATAGAAAATGCGGGAAAATAAGAAAAATGGATGGTTGTGGGAGGTGTTGGTGGAGGTTCAAAAACTGTAAATCTGTAACTATGGTTGTAACCAATATAAGTAAAAAGAAAATTGAATAAAAATTTATTTTCAAAAAAAAACACAAATGTGGCAGATGGTAAAGCACTAGGGCTTTAACAACTTCGTAAAATATACAGTTCTGGTTTCCCCCCCCCTCTCCTTTATTTTCCCTTCTACGCGGGTTCTGATTTCCTTCTTCTTTTTCTCTCTTTTATTTACATGTCTCACCATGTTTGGTGCAGATATAATTTTTTGAATTTTCAATAAAGATGGGTTGTTGTTGTTTTTTTAAAAAAAGGGTCCCAAATGCTGAACACATGGCTCCTGTTGGATACGATACGATAATCTTTATTGTCATTTTCCCATACAAAACAACGAAATTGAAAAAATCTACCTCAGACATTCAAAAACCAACCAGCCTGCTATCCCAGATATCCCAGCCTGGTTATCCCCCTAAAAACTCTGATACCCCATAATTAAATACAATATACTCCCACAGAGACTACCTTACATTGCGTTTAAAACCAAAATCGCATTTGGATAGAAACTGTTTCTCAGGCGGCTAGTCCTAGTCTTTATAACCCTGTACCTTCTTCCAGAAAGGGACGCGGGTGGTGCTGTGGGTAAAACCTCAGTGCCTAGGACTTGCCGATCGTATGGTCAGCGGTTCAAATCCCCGCGGCGGGGTGAGCTCCCGTCTTTCGGTCCCTGCTCCTGCCCACCTAGCAGTTCGGAAGCACCCTTAAGTGCAAGTAGATAAATAGGTACCGCTTTATAGCGGGAAGGTAAACGGCGTTTCCGTGTGCTGCGCTGGTGCTGGCCTCGCCAGAGCAGCTTCGTCACGCTGGCCACGTGACCTGGGAGTGTCTCCAGACAGCACTGGCCCCCGGCCTCTTAAGCGAGATGGGCGCACAATCCTAGAGTCAGACACGACTGGCCTGTACGGGCAGGTGTACCTTTACCTTTACTTTACCTTCTTCCAGAAGGCAGAAGCTGAAAGAGATCATTTCCAGGGTGCGTACTATTCTACGCTATCTCTGCAGCTTTCTTATGGCACCTGGAAGCGTAGATTTGATCCAAGGTGGAAAGAATGCACCCAATTATTCTTTACAACCCTGGACAGCATTGTTTTTTCCCTGACCATGCAGCTCCCAAACCACACACAGAGACTGCATCTGAGCCATTGGGAACCACTAACAGTGACTCCCCCAAAGAGCTCAGTGATTGGGTCGCTAGAGCACACTTTAGAGCTACATGCTGACAACAGAGTGCATTGCAGTAATCGAGGTCGCCAATGCATGGATTACCATGTCCACACTGCATCAAACACAGAAGAGGACCCTCAGTCAACCAGCTACAAGTCCCCCTAAGAGTTATCTCATCCAGCCCAAACTTCTCTGCAAGTTTCCAACTGTGCTTCACAGTATACAATAAAGTGGTACCTCGGGTTAAGAACTTAATTCGTTCCAGAGGTCTGTTCTTAACCTGAAACAGTTCTTAACCTGAGGCGTGCTTTAGCTAATGGGGCTTAATGCTGCCACTGCGCCACTGGCGTACAATTTCCGTTCTTCTCCTGGGGCAAAGTTCTTAACCTGGAGCAAACACTTCTTGGTTAGCGGAGTTTGTAACCCGAAGCGTCTGTAACCTGAAGCGTCTGTAAGCCGAGGTACCACTGTTCAGAAACTTTGTGCATTTCCCATTTCAGTGCACATTAAACAATTGTACTTCAAGGTTCCAGGCTCAATTTATTTCTCTATGGCTCTTCACTTCATGAAAGACAATGTTTCAAAGCAGTGTACAATGTAAGGTAAGCAATACAATCAGTTACATTATCCTAAGTTTTCCCTACAGTCTGACTAGGTGGCATATGTTGCCTGGTGTGTTGGACCTGCACCCAGTTCTTACCTGTGGGATCTTGTAGATGCCCAACATGCTTGCAATGTGTGTGGAGATGTCGGATTCACCCGCTTCAAGAACAGCCAACAGCTTTTTCTGTCTTCCACACCTGTAGTTTGGAATATTGATTTTCCCACCAGCAAGCAGGTCTATCAGGGCATCAGAAGTCATTCTTCCCTGAAAAGAGGTATCATACATGCTGTAGCCGAGGGTGATGTTTGGTAAGAGCCTGGGATTATTACTGATATCCTGAACAGCAAGGGAGAATGGAAGGACGTGTGAGCTCCTCACCATCTCCCATCTGCAAAAATAGCATGTCAAGCAGTTACCCTCAATTCAGTGAAAATGATAGTCACATTCTTTTTTGTGTTAATCAAAGCAAATAAGAAATGAGGCGAGGTGGCAGGGGAAAGTAAGGCGGAGGTGTACCAGTATTAGTGTCGACAGTATCTTTGCAAGGAGGAGAAAGGAGGCAAAACCAGAACACAACTGTTCCTTGGCGGCCGCCCCACTAGGTCCAGTGGTTACCACCAGTGGCGTAGCGTGGGGGGTGCCAGGGGTGCCGGCCGCACCGGGCGCAACATTTGGGGGGGCGCGTTTGGCCGGCCCCCCTCGAGGAAGCGGGAACCTCTCCAAGGCACAGCGTGCCGTCGGTAGAGGAAAAAAGCCGTGCAGCAGCAGCAGCAGCAGCAAAGTCGGGAGGAGGAGGAGGTGGAGCGAGCCTGCTAATTCCTTGCTGGGAATTAAGCGGCTCAAGACTCTCTCCACTGGCCGCCTGGGTAGTGAGCCGAGCCGAGCAGGGAGTCTGGCGAGGGGGCGGGAAGAGACTTTCCCCCCTTTTTTCCACCTCGCCTGGTCAAAAAGGAGAGCGGAGTCTCCTCAGGGCGCCCTCAGGCAGGGCAGGGAAAGGCAAGCAGAGCGAGGAGGAGGGGGGGGGAGCAGCCAGGAAACGCCGCGGTGTGGAGGAGGAATCAATTTAGGAGAGAAAGCGAAAAGCCTTGGAGAAAGGGAAAAAAGGAAAGAAAAGAGGCAGCTCCAGGAGAGCGCGGGGGAAAGAGAAGCCTCGCTGCTGCTGCTTGGGAGAGTAAATTACTGTACTTGCCTTGCCCCGGGTTAGGGGGCGCAAATTACTTGCCTTGCCCCGGGTGCTGATAACCCACGCTACGCCGCTGGTTACCACCCATCACTGTATAAAACAACCTCCCAGGCAATGTCTCACAAAACGGGTTTCCAAAGTAATGATTTGCATATTTCTAATGGGGGCATGGGGAGAGGAGCCCCACAGAGCAGCCAAGAAGTCTTAGTTACATTGGCTGTGCTGGACGCCAGAGAAAAAGGTCCTGGAGCCAAATTGAGCCCACAGGCTGCTTTGCATGTGATGAAGTACATGAGTCATTTACAATTTGCAGCTCCATAGATTTTGTTGTGCATGGGTGAAATAATTGTCTAGTTCCAATGTCGCTTACTACAGAAGACCTGCAATTCAAACACATCCCAGAGCGTTTCCTACATTTTAGAGAACAAGTTATTCTTCAGAGAGCAGCATATATCAAAACTACTGTTGTTATTGCTTTGGCATTTAGTCGTGTCCGACTCTTCGTGACCCCATGGACCAGAGCACGCCAGGCACTCCTGTCTTCCACTGCCTCCCGCAGTTTGGTCAAACTCATGCTGGTAGCCAGTTACTTTAATTGCATTACAGTGGTACCTCGGGTTACATACGCTTCAGGTTACATACGCTTCATGTTACAGTCTCCGCTAACCCAGAAATAGTACCTCAGATTAAGAACTTTGCGTCAGGATGAGAACAGAAATCGTGCTCCGGCAGTGCAGCAGCAGCAGGAGGCCCCATTAGCTAAAGTGATGCTTCAGGTTAAGAACAGTTTCAGGTTAAGAATGGACCTCCGGAACGAATTAAGTACTTAACCTGAGGTACCACTGTATAAAATAATGTCTGAACCATCATAAAGAAATCTTTAAATAAATAAAGTAAAATAACAGGCATTCTTGTTTCAATCCCCAGGAAAGACCCACAACATTATAAACCTTATATTACGGGTTTATAAGCAAAGAGGGCGCTTGCTGCTTTTGTGTAACATTATCTTCCTACCCAGATCTCCCAATTGTATTGCATCCCACTGAATGAGGTATTTCCTCAACGAAAAAAAGAGGAGCCAATGATTTATCAGGGTTACCAGAAAACAAGGGTGACCCAGGTACATCAAGGGAACTGGAGAGTAGTTAGGAATCAGAAATAAATCCCATCAATACATCAGTACTTACATCTCAATTCTGTTGAAAGGGGCTGCTGGAAAATGTGAAGAAATCCAGATTTTCAAAAAATCTTGGAGCTATGATTCCACCAATGAGGTGGTCCGCTGGCCGGTAAAAATTCACAGGAGAATTTGTATCACCAATCAAACTAGGTTGGACACTTTACCCTCTGCTGCATCCCATAGTTTGTGAGAGACATCACCAGAAGCAGTGTTATCATTCTAGGTCTATCAGCTACACTTTGCTCGTGACTGTTCCTCCTCCCACTACCTCATTTTCAGAAGAAACCCCACATTCTTGCAAATCAGAAGCTGCAGTGACTTGACAAATAAAGGGTCTGGCTGTGGCCTCAGGGTCAAAGGGGGATTGAGGGGAAGGGCCAGAGATTCAATAGACAAGCATCTTCTTTTGCACCCAGAAGGTGTGAAGTGCAATCGTGTCTCACCTCTCCAGGCAGGGCTGAGGATGTCCCCTTCCAGGAAAGCTACTACCAGTCAGCAGATGGTACAGATCTCAAAGGCAGCTTCCTAAGTCCTGATTAAGCTTTGCACAAACTTAGCTTCCCCCCTCACCTGCCCTATATCTTAGCCCCAAGGACTCTGTGGCACATGAGATATTTTATACATCAAACCCTTCAGGCACAGTGGAAGAAATAATCCTCCAGGTGCCCTTAATTGTGATGTTTGTGTTATTGTTCCCAAATGCAATATTTGAGGGCGAGGTGTAAGGATCCCTTGGACTCTGTAAATAACAGGAATGAATCGATGTGGTTCAGATGATTGTAAAGGGAAGAGAGGTTTCCTCTGGAACTTCAGAAGAGCAGGTGCAGAGCAAGAGAAAAACATGTTTACTGAATAGACTGACAAGGGTCAAGGAGGCAGAAAGATGAGTTTGAATGATCTTTATTGGCATCTTAAGAGCCCTGGAGCTGATCAGGCCAAAGGTCCATCTAGTCCAGCATCCTATAATCACAATGACCAATGAGTTGCCCCAAAGGGAAGCCCACAAGCAGGAGATGTGGAGCAGAACCTTCCCTACATGTGATTTCTAAAACCCATCACACAAGGACCTCCTACCTTCAGCATAGTAGGGAGAACACATCCTTGAAGGCTATAGCCTTGGGCAGCCTTTTCCCCCTCCATAAATTTGTCTAAACATCTGTTACTACACAATTGTAAATATACCTACTCAGTGGATTACCAAATATCTCAATAAAGACCTGTGTGCATTCCAGCAACCCAATCTTGAATTCAAGGTTGTGCCCTTCCAATTGTGATGTGCCTGGTATAATGACAATTTGAGTAAGCCCAATGATTGCCATGGAAGCCATGAAGTCCCCACAGGGCCCAGTGGCAAACTCTGAATGACTATGTTCCTACAAAACCATGCCAGAGACCACCTCTGTCAGGGGAGTTGCTCCACTTCCTTCAAACATTTTGGTTGCCCCTTTGTGAACCATGGACTTGTGGGGTTGGAAGGGACCCCAATGCCTGTCCTACACCTTATCATCCAGGTTCATTGGCTGGGATTGATGGGAGTTGGAGAGTCCTGAAACATCTCAAGGGCCATGGGTTCCTGTGCATAGTTTTATACACTTCTATTCATGCCCACCCCCAGTTGCTTCTTTCCTTGGGAGAGGTGACATCGGTCACACCCACACCAGTCAATTAAAGCACACAGGCTTCCCCCAAAGGATCCTGGGAGCTGAATGACAAAGGCTGTACCTCAGCCGCAGAGCATCTGCTCTGCATGCAGAGGTCCTAGGCTTGATCCCTAATGTCATTTCCAGGAGCCGCACCGGAAACTTTGAGGAGCCAATGCCATCTAGACAACACTGAGCCTGCATGGACCAATGCTTTGACTCAATATGAGGCACCTTACTACCTTCCTAGTTTAACCCTCAGAGCTACAGTCCTTGGACCCATAAACTACAGCTCCCAGGATTCTTTGGGGCAATCCATACGCTTTTAATATATGGTGTAGGTGGAGCCATTTTTTATTTTTGCCTTGCCATTGCGATGTACCCATCCTGGGGTTTGGGAATTGCAAACACTTGTGTGAGCTGCGCTCTGGACACACAGTTTAGGATTCTACTTTTGGAATAAGCACAGCATTTCTGGAACCAGAAAATTTTAACCGTGCAGCAAAAGTGAGGGTTTCAAACCTAATCAAAGCAGTAGGAGGGTGTTCTAATTGAGAAAGGGGCTTGCTCCCGCAAACCGTAGAGGCATGTTGCAATCCCCTTTGATTATGATGGCGCACACTTGCCACCACCAACACCTTTGTGGTGACAAAGATTTGTCTGCAGCCACAGTCAAAGGCGATTGCGACCCACCTCTCCGGTTTCCAGGAGATCCCCAGCAGTTCTAAATGGGCAACTGTGCTTTAAACTGTTTGGGAATCTGGTTCCTAAGCCAAAGAGGGGGCACTCCCCCCCCCCCCAAATCAATTCAGTTGACAACTTCTTAAGCAACTTAGGAGACTCAGCTATGAGGAACGTGCAGTCTAACTCAAGATAGAAGAGCCTGGTACAGGAATGTTTTCAAACAGCAATGGGCAACTCCACAGTTGCTACTATTGAAGACTCGGGAATCAGAAACTTTAAGAGGTCTACTGCAAATTATCTATTTCCTCCACATCACAAGCGAGCTAAGGGAACATTGATGACAATGCTCTTGGACATATGTCTTACCATATACATAGTCAGCTGCAAATTGCAGTGAGAGGAAACTGCTTGGCTATGCAGTGGGGTGTGTTATTGGGGTGTTGTTTTTATTTTGATTATATATTTTGTGGTTTTATACTTTGATTTTGTTCTGTGAACTGCCCAGGGACCTCCTGGTATAGGGCGGTATATAAATTCAATAGATAAGAAGAAGAATATGCATGGGTGCACA